ACAGCCCCCCCAATCCAAGAGTTTCTAGATTCTCAGAATTTTACTCCTTTTAAACACTGTTGACAATTTTCATCACAGAAACTGGATATCATTATGTATTTAGGACTAAGGACTTCCATGTGTTTTTCTCCATAATCTCTTTGCTTTCCCTTACTGAGTGACAAACAAAACTCATAAAACAAAGTACTCCTTTATTCTCGGGTAGATGGAACTAAGAGAGCGAACAAACAGCAGTAATGCACTTGCTGTAGAGAAGAGGAAAAAAAACAACATTCCAAGAAATTTTGTTAATACACGCCAATGCAGTTTTATATGAGAAGGGATAGTTCCATTCAAGAGAAACAGCCATTTATCCAGGACATCTGCAGTGAAGAAAACATCTCAGATCTCACATCCAGCAGTAAGTGTTACACAAACAAGAATGAAACACAACTGTATTTTTTATTACACTTTCAGTGCTTATACTTGAATTTATCATGCCTTTAATTTGGTTCATCCCATTATATGTAATGTATGACTACCGTTTGCAGTGGTTTGCATTTGTTTGCATGTCTGTGTATACTGAAAGTTTAAAAACGAAGCAATGAGAAATGCTAACTAAAGACCCTAATTAGCTGTTCCAGAATATGCTTTTGAATGAGTTTTGAGCTGTTCAGACATGTCAGTTCCTTCTTCAAAAGGAAGTTAAACCATCTTTCCTATGGGCCTGATATAGCAGATGGTATCTATTTGCCAAAGCAATTCTTCACAGTCTGAACAAACTGAAGGGATTTGGAAATAGGCAGTTCTTTGAAATAAGATTTTTTAAAATGAGTAGCTGTTAATATTCTCACCTTAACTATAAGCATTTTTCATGTATGTATGTTGGACAAAGTTAGCACATCCTTGAACAATTACCTAAACTAAGTACAATATATAGAGGATTACTTGTTATCTAATGCCACTAAGAATGATAGAATACATATTGATCAAAACCTTGTTGTCTTATGTATAATGAACTGAGAGTACAGTGCCACAGTTATTTTGTGTTTCACTTATTTGAACTTTATCCCATTACTATGGCTTTTCAAAAGAGTTCCAATGCTAAAGGCCAATTTTAATACTATTGTTTATATTTAGATAGAATGTCTTAAAAAGCATAATCCAGACTGAAGACTGCCCTTTATCACTCTGATAAAGGACAAAACTTGCCAATTATAGAGCCTCACTCAAAAGGCAGGACACCGTTTCTAATCCTTGTCACAGAAGTTTCAAACCACTGTTGTTCATCTGCTATCCCAACAGTCCAGCTGATGTAACAGCAACAGTTGTGTCCCCCCAGGTGCACAGTTATCATACTGCCTAAAATGTTCCCATCTGTCAAATGAAATTTGACTCTATACAAGAATAGAAGGGAGGGTTTTAAATGAATTTTTAAAACTGCCACTTCGTGGTAAATTTGCAAATTACTTCAGACAGATGACTGACTAAAAACAAGTGCACTTACACAACTGAGTTGTTCCATTTCTGGAACAGTTCCATTTTTTAACAGTTTGTACTGTTAAAACCAGTTATTTTGTTTTATAGACAAAAGCAGATCATATTCACTCTTACGACTTGCTCAATACTGCTGCTCTAAGTCAAGGACTGAGAATTACTGACTGAAAATAAAATACTGATTTTGAAAAGTCATGTGACTTAATTATGAAAATACTGCAAAAGCAGATTCAATCTTATTCTTCAAAAACATAATATTTCATGAATTATTAAACAAAACCCCACAATATTTAAATAACTGAAATAAGGGGTTACCTTTACAAAAGATAATATTAACAATGTTCACTGTTATAAAATAGTCAACAGGAGCCCACTACAGCCATCAACACATTTAAAGAAAGTACTTGAAGAGTATAATATATTTTCTACCACAGCATTTTCCCACAATGACTTCTAATCTGCAAATTTCTCATGTTCCATTTACAAGGTGTATTTTCCTAGTAAGCCTGCAATCTGTATACCATTACCAAAACCAACTCCAGTAAAATAATTTTTGCTTGATGGCTTGCAATCATGTATGAAAGGGCAGCAGCTCCTCCTTACAAGCAATTCTAAAACACTGTCCATTTGCCATCATTTATGTTCAAGTACCTTGTGTACAGTTGCTCAGCTGCTTTCATCTGCTGCAGGGTCATGTTCAGATATTCATTCAGATAGCTCTAATTTTAAATGCAAGCTTTTTTTGTTTGCTGATTTCTTTTTTCTTTCCCCTTCACTCTTCTCCTCCCCCTCTCCCTATTACACAGAGGGCTGGCTACAGCCTTGGCTACGAAGCTACCAACCAGTTACACTCATTTACAAGAGAGAAACAGGCAGACAAAAGGTGAGAGCCGATAATCATCATGGCATCAGCAAGTCTGCAGTTCTTTGCTTTTATTCTGGCTTTGTTCGGTGTTTTTGGAGATATCACAGCCACCTTGCTACCAAACTGGAAGGTAAATGCAGATGTTGGTTCAAATATCATAACAGCTATAACACAGATGCAAGGACTTTGGATGGACTGTACATGGTACAGCACTGGGATGTTTAGCTGTACCCTGAAATACTCGGTTCTCTCTCTCCCCATCTACATCCAGGCTGCACGGACGACCATGGTACTGTCTTGTATCCTATCAGCCTTTGGGATCTGCATCACTACAGTTGGAATGAAATGCACAAAGTTGGGAGGGGACACAGACAGCAAAAGTCATGCTTGCTTTGCTGGAGGAGTCTGCTTCATTCTTGCAGGAATTTTTGGATTAGTACCAACATCCTGGTATACAAGAGAAATTATTTCAAGTTTTCTGGACCAGACCATTCCCGAGAGCAGTAAACATGAACCAGGAGGAGCAGTTTATACTGGATTCATTTCAGCAGGGTTTCTGCTTATCGCAGGGGTGATCTTCTGCACTTCCTGTTTTAAAAAGCAGCAAGGAGCATGGATTTACCCTCCAAAGCAGCACCATTTCTCATCCACAGAGCAGGAGAGCAACGCAGGTTACAACCTGAAGGACTATGTGTAAATACAGTTAATTCTATCCACTGAGGGGTTTTTTGTGCTGTGTAGTTTGATTATTTCAAAGAATGTATAACCTAGCACTTAACTTTTCTTACATCTGGGTTGCAGTTACGTTTAAGCAAGGTATTTATAGCATCACCCACAACAAGAATGAAGTAGGAAATGATGTTTAAGTCTGCTACAAGAATATTTTTGTTGATTTTTCAAACCATTCTTTTTGACTTTTTCAGTAACATTTATTGAAGAAAAAGGAACTATTTTAAAATATAACTGACAGTACAATTAATGTACTGTTGGCTTGTTACAGCAAAGATGCTTAAAAAATAACTGCTTTCTATTTAGCAAATCAGGCTATCAAGAACTATATATAATGTTTTATAGTATATTTTACATTTTTATCTTTAATTATGATACAAAGAAAAAAATCCCAACCACTCTTTGTCCAAGAAGCCCAATTCAACAGTTTCTAAATAGCAGACACATGTGCCTTTCATTTTCAGTTCTAAATTGCCTTGGTAACTAGAGTTCTTTCCTTTTTTTTTTTTTTTTTAAAAAAAAAACCCACACAACAAAAACCAACCAAACAAAAAACCCCAAACACACGCCCCACCCCCAAAAACCCACAATCAACAAAACTGCAATAAAAAACCCTAGCCCTAAACCTTAACTGCATTGTAAATTCTGCATATCAGGCTGAAGAATCAGCAGTACCATTCAGATTTTGCCAAAAATGGCTCTCCTGCCCCAAACTGCCACCTGCTGTGGGTTTCATTTATTATTGTTAACGAAAATGTCTACTTGGCATTCACCAGTTGCCACTAATCTATCACTAGACAATGAATGTTAGATTTGAAGTGCAATACAACAACAGAAATGTAACCATGACTATGAAAACACCTGCAAACTGTAACACACAGGATACAAACTAAATTATCTATGTTCAAGAAATATCTGGATGGTTTCCCGCTTACACTTGCTCAAAGTAGCTTTTAACAGCTCAAGTAATACAGCTACAATTTATCATCTTCTTCATTTCTGGCTTCTAAAAGAACTTAATAAATCCTTTTAATTATTCCTGTAGGGTCTGTTTCAGGCCCACTCCCATGTATTCTATTACTGTAAAATGTAATATACAGTGGTGATAAAGAGACAGCTTCTTTATTTAAATTTATTTTCTTAACTCCCTTATTTTGATTAATAATATCAGATCCTTTAACGTTCTCTTTCAACACACAGACTGTTTTATATGTCATCAGCAGAGTATGTTCTATCTAAATGCTTCATTAAATAAGAATAAAACTGATCATAATTTGCTAGCATAGGTAAGGGATTGGAAAGGGGTATGATACAGGCCTTTAAATTTAGGAATATGACCATGCTGGATTTTCAACAAAATCAACTGCTATTTATTTTGCATATTTATATGCAACTTTCATTTCCCTTATTACTAGCCTGAAATTCACTAGAACAGTATGCAGGGGCTTTACCATTACATGTATAGTTTATTGGAAAAGTAAAATCTTCTGTTACAGCATTTGATAAAGTGAAATGTTTTATGCATCTAATATGTAAACAGCCTTTATTCAAACATACATAGAATTACATTTTGTATTACTACTGTTGTGTAGCTATTTTGAGTTTCCTATTCATCAAGGAGCTTGTTTTGTACCATTCCTAATGCTAGTATCAGCAGTTATTTGGTATTGCAGAGACTTAACTATGACCAAAAAGCCAAATTTTCTTCGCTTAGACATAATGCTGTACAGCACCATTCCTTTCCATAAACCAAGAGTGTTTTATGTCTCAAGATGTGTAGTGTTGTTGAAATAATAGTCATTCATTTAGCAAGTGAAGTAAACAACTCATTCCCAAAAATATGCATCTCCATCTTTAGTAAAAGGTTTGACATGACATTAAGCTGTGATCATTGCTATGCACATAAATTAAAATTAGTATTTGTAAAATAAGAACCAAAGGAGACCATAAGAAAAAGGTAATAATTGCATACTACAAGCAAAATGTAGTCATCGGTTATATAAGCAGCAAATTTTTCTTCCTAAAACTTTACACAGAAGCACCTGACCTTCTTTGTATACCTAGGAAACAAAAATCAAGCACTGAGCCACTTCAGTCACAATACACTGCAAGAGCTTTCCAAGAAAACAAAGATTCTATCAGAAACAGTAATATCTAAAACCACATGTCAATCCATGGCCGAAAAAACAGGGACAAAACAGGGGATCAATCTACAACAGGAGTTTGAAGGAAACAAAATACAGTGAAAACAGGTGCCAGATCTGTTGGAAAAATCTGTACTTTCCGCTTTTGGAATATAAGAAGTATTCGTTTTAACTCAAAGAAATGTATTAAATAAAAATGTGCTTGCCTTTAGTGGTACTGCCTTTTTTATTCAACAGAGCACCAACTGTAGGATTTGCTTATACTAAGACATCTGTCACAACTCTATGATAGTTACCTCTCTCTCAGACAACTGTGGCATTTTACACAGTACAGGCAAATGGGAATATCAGTTGTAGCTTCCCAATTCTAAGACAAAGTCTGCACAGGACTTTTAACTACACTAGCTCTACTATGCCCTCAAACTGTATCCACTATTGAGAAACAACCACCACGAAATAGGAATTTTGGCCTTACCGAATACTATTTAACAGTGAGATGACATTCTGAAATTATTTTTCATTCAGTCAGGAGACAAGAAAACAAACCACCCAAAAAGCAAAGCAAAAAATATCTTAAGCATGGTCATTTTTCTTCACAACAGACTGCTGTCACAACTAATCATTTAATATATTTGAACACTTACTTGCTCAAAAAATACTAACAGAATTTTAAATCCTCATCAGAATATGCCCAGATAGAGGCCTTAAAATTCATTGTGATAAAAGAGAGAAAGACCTTCCAAAGGGTTCACAGGACATGAGCCTGAAAAGTAAAAAGACCAAGAGAGAGACTGCGGTAACAGGGAAAGGAGATGTATTGATGAGCTGGGCCAACCAGTTCAAGAGGAAATTTCAGAAGCTGCACGTTCATTTCTGAAACAGAACAGCAGATTTCCATGTGCATTCAGAGAAAACAGACCCCACTTAGCATCAGGCACACATTTAAAAAGACAGAAAAAAAAAAAAAGATGATACCTTCTTGTCCAAAATGCAGTTTAATTGCTTAATTCTTGATTTTTGTAATCATAATGACTATTAATAAAAAACAGTGGCAGTAGATAAGAGGACAGCAAAGAGATCGTTCTCCTCCACTCGCTCAAGAGCAGACAGGAGGGAGAAAAGATTGTTACTTTTTTAAACAGGCAGTGGGATGTTGATGACAAAGTGCTATAGTGAAAAGGAGTTAAATATGCTAAAAATGAGTAGGGTGAAACGTAATGATTATAGACATGGTAAAATTAGAGATCTTTGACAAAGATGACAAATGAAAAGCTTTTATTTATCAGGGTCTTTCAAAACACCCATCAAATTTTCTAGGCACAATTCCCAAACTATTTATAAATTCAAACTGTAAAATAGCAGGCTTTCCAAAGATGCTACAATCCTAGCAGACTATCCTGTCATCAAATCCTAATCTCCCTCTCCAGAAACACCCAAAGAAGTACGCTGATCTTGCAGACAGACTTGAAGGTCAAAGACAAGTTATGAGGAATAAAAAAAGAAGAGCACCTTCTTGAAGCACGTATGCTTTGTTTACAGTAATATCAGATCACTCCACTTTATAGTATGCAGATGTTGAACTAGAGCACACAACTGTGTTCCTTACACAAAATCTGATATATTGCTTGACTGACAGAGTAACAAAAGACCCAAAAAAATACATGAAAACTTACCTCTGGCTGTGGAACAAAGGCTTGACCTGGAATTATGAAACAGTTTTCGACACTGCAGAGATGCTGAGACATGATGGACAGTCTGCTACGTTGCTTACCTCCCGGATTAGCTGTAAGCCTCTATTGAAAAACCAAAACATGAAAATCAGTGAAACTGAGTTGACCAAATGGTCCGTTACATTAAAGCTTGATTTTCGGTATAATTGATGGCAAAGACAAATTAAAACCCCCGATTATTAGGAATGAAAGTTTATGCCCAGATAATCTAGAATTTTCTTCTTCAGTATAGCAGCATTTCACTAAAATACCATCCTAATTTACAGCCTCTGTCCTGCACATTAAACAGAGCTCCTTGAAAGTCTGCAGAACTGAATGAATGTCAAAAGAATTTTATATGGGCACAAGAGAAAACTATTCTGACTGCAGGATTCAAAACAAACATAACACCAGCTGACAGTATTCTCACATGCTTTCCTTCCATTGTTTCTGTATCAAATATTACTACTTTTTTCTCCTTCAAGATGAAACAAAGCTCCATAAACTCAAGTAGAACCCAACATTTTTTCATGATTAACTGGTCTACGCTTACAAGATATGCAAGGAAGCTGGATCTAGTTTACATAAATTTAGAATACCTAACAGCAAGAGCATTTAATATTTCAATTAGTGTTAGTATTCAATTAGTAGTAGCATTATTCAATTTAATAACAAAGATAACAAAAAAGTAGCCTAGAGAGGTTTTCTACACTTTCATGACCTCGCAAGAAATTTGTGTTTTGCTAGCATAAACAAGATATAAACATTAAAACAATTTAAACATTTAAACAGTAAAACAAGTCTCAAATGGTAAAAGACATTCTACTAACTATGCAGAAAAAAAAATTTTGAAGATTTCTGTTCTTATTTACCACTACCTTAATAAACAATAGAAGATGAAAACCAATTTGCATATCTGGTAACACCTGTACATCATGTAGCTTCAGATGAAAAGCCTGCTCATGAAATGCTACCATGCTTATTAAAATCATCACTGAAAAATAAAATTAAACCTATCGCTGAAGTTTTAATTTTTTTTTTCAACAACCCTCCTTATTTAAAGGCAGTTTAAGTATCAGCACAGAACAAATAAAATGCTTTTTAATGACTTTTCGAAAAAAAAGCTTAGCAATTCTTTTTGCCTACATCAGCATGTAAAACTACATTATTGTTTCAGAGAAAACCTATTTAAAAAATAATAATAATCTATCCACCATCATTATTCTCTGAAAAAAAGCCAGGCTGCCAAGTCTGATAATTTAATCAGATATGCACTTCCTTAACTTCTGCAGCGGAAATGAAACAGACCTTATGACAATGCTTGTAGACCTTCCAATGCCAATTCAAACAAGCCAGTCTTTATTTCCCACAAGAACAATCTAAGAAACCTCTGGCAGTTAGTTCCTGCTTCTCAGCTACAGGAGGAATAACTTAACATCATCCACTTCTGGGTAGTAACATCTTAAACCACTTCAACCACAACACCAGGAACACACTTGTGTATGGTACTCCTCAAGGAACACAAAAACACTGAGAATATATTCACAGAATAGTTTGGGTTGGAGGAGTCAGCTAGTTCAACCCCCCCACAATGAGCAGGGCTATCTTCAACTAGATGAGGTTGCTCAGAGCCCCATCCAACCTCTCGAGGC